GCAGTGCTTAGTGGGTGAGGACAAGCGCCTGGGTCCATTCTGGTTTTCTTTCCCCAGAGGAACCCGGAAGACACCGTCTTCCTCCCTCGGGAATCTCCTCTATTCCCTGCCCCACCAGCCCAGCCCTTCTTTTGCTCCCACTTCAGATGTGCTTGCACACTAGAGGACTGGCTCTGGCTCATCTGAATTCCTGAACCATACATGTAAATCCTTTGTTTTGAAAGGTGCTTGGGTTTGTTTTGTTTTGTTTTGTTTGCGGTACGCGGGCCTCTCACTGTTGTGGCCTCTCCCGCTGCGGAGCACAGGCTCCTGAAGCGCAGGCTCAGTGGCCATGGCTCACGGGCCCAGCCGCTCCGCGGCGTATGGGATCTTCCCAGACCGGGGCATGAACCCGTGTCCTCTGCATCGGCAGGCAGACTCTCAACCACTGCGTCACCAGGGAAGCCCCTGTTTTGTTTTGTTTTGTTTTTTTACCAAAGATACTGACTTACCCTGCAGTAAGTGCTCCCCATTTTGGGGGTGGAAATGCTGATGTTCAGAGAGCAATGTCACCTGAGTATAAACTGATTGTATGATAGTCCATAGCTTGAAAAGTATGCTCAGGTATGTCCTAGGATCTAACATGTGAGGTCTTGGCTTTCCCTGGGGAAAATACAGAGGTTTAGGACCAGATTTCTGTGGCAACTTCCATTTTCCCCCTTTTAATCCTCCCCCCCTCAAAATCTGATCCAATTCCTAAAAGTGAGACAGTAATCCTGGGATGATCTATTCATTAATTTGTGTTTCGAGTAACATTTATTGAGCATCTGCTATGTGCAGGTAATCTTCTCTAGAGAAACAGAACTAATAGGTGAAATAGATAGATATCAAAATAGATATAGATACATATATGATTATGGGGGCTGAGAAGTCGCATGATCTGCTGTCTGCAACCTGGATGCCCAGGAAAGCCAATGGTATAAATTCTAGTCTGAGTCTAAAGGTCTGAGATCGCCTGATGGTGTAAGTCCCAGTCTGCAAAGACTGATGTCTCAGCTCATGCATTTAGGCAGAGAGAGTGAATGCAATGTTCTTCTGCCTTTATGTTCTACTTGGGCTCTCAGTGGGTTGGTTGATGCCTCCCCACTTTGGGGAAGCTTTACTCAGTCCACGAATTAAAATGCTAATCTATTCTGGAGATACCCTCACAGACACACAGAAATAATACCTAACCAGATATCTGAGCATGTTGTGGCCCTTTCAAGTTGATACAGAAAATTAACCACCATAGCATGTCTCTGTGCTGGGTACAAATGAATAAAAGCTGGGCCTTGTCCTCAATGTGCAAAACTGCTAAAGTAATTTCTTCCTTACTGAGAGTCTACAGTGGTCCTTTATCATCCAGCTCTTGTTTGCTCCGTTACCTTTGCTTTCACCTCTCCTCACCAGGCATGATGGACCAGCTTAGAGTTACCTGGGTGAGCTGTGCTCTATCAAGCCCGTGAGACTCAGCACAAGCTATTTCCTCTGAAGGGAATGGCCTCCCTGCATTTGTGTCCTTACTACATGCTTACCCTTCAAATGTGAGTTTAAGAGCAACCTCTTCTATAAAGCTTTCCTTGATTTCCTCAGTCAAATTTGAAAGCTCCTTCTCCAATATGCTCATAACACTGTGTATACAGTCTCATAATCTTGCTAAGAAGTATGTCTCACCTCCAAATTATAAGCTCTTTGAGGACACAGGCCACATATTTTTATTTTTCTATCCCTGTTATCTTCCCCAGTGGGTTGGTAGGTACTCAACATATATTTGATGGTTGAATAAATAAACAAATAATTGAATGTAGAAAATGATTAGTATCCTAAGAGGGGTACTGAAAGTGGCAGCTGTCATTTATTGAGTGCTTCTTCTATATCAGGCATTGTGCTATGCCTTTTATAATCATCATCTCATTGTTATTTCCTATGCTGTAGATGAGGAAACTGAACATGGAGAGGTTAATTAACTTGCCTGATTTGACATGGCTAAAAGTAATGGCATGAGATTTGGATTCAGGTCTGTCTGGTTGCTCTTAACTGCCACATGGTATTATCCTCATTGAGACTGAGCTGACCCAGGAAAGTTAGCCTGTAATTTAGAATGTTATGGCTCTTCTTAAAAGCAGCAATCAAACCCATGTGTATTACTGTAAATGTATTGCCCATTATTTCCAAGTCTGTCCTATAACCTCAGACTAGAGTTTTAGGAGGAAATAAAACCTTAGAGCTGAACAAGCCCAGAGCAGGTAGTGTGTCTTCTTCAGAAGTTAGGTCACTGTGTAATGCACAGTGTTTAATTGATGCCTGATCAAATTCAAATCTCATTTGAATGTGGAAATTAAAGTTCTCTACAGTGAACTCTGAGGGACTTTGTCCACATCAGATAATTGTCTTCCAAGATAATGACTAAATTTAATCTCACATAAGCCTGATAACAGGCAATTCTCCTGACAGATCTTGGAGCTGCTGGGCTGGTGTGTGAGTGGTGAGGGGCTGGGTGGTCTACAGAAGTCCCGGAGTGTGGAATGGGAGGGCCGTGGTGGGCAGAGAACAGGACATTTCCAGGAAAAAGAAGTCTAGCCCTCCTAGAGCAAATGCAGCTCTGTCAAATGTATTTGCTAGGATGATATCTGAAGTCTTAGAGGCTTTTTTGGATGTATTCATTTTGATTTTTTTCACCTCATTTTTTTTAATGTTTATCTTCCTCTTCCTCAGCAGTATTACCCCTGAAAATTGGTTTCCCCTTCTCAGGACAAAATTAAAGGTATAATGTTTCCCTTACTTCATACCTCAATTTAGAAGCACTTGAGCCAAAACATTGATTGTCCATGATGGATTGGGTGCAGAGAAATTAGCCAGTGACTGAGCTCCTAGATCCTTCTAAACTGACTTAAAAATGTTTGTTTTAATCTTATATGGACTCTGCTAGGAGCTGACTTTGAGTGGATTTTCTTTCTTGTTCCTCCTTCTCCACTACTGAGAGTGATCAGGGATTCCAAGGCCAGTGAGGGCCCTGCCCCTTGCTCCCTGGGAAGGTAGGACTCTTGGTAAGCCACAGCCAGGGGCACGTCTCAAGGGTCCTTGAGAGTGTGGTGTTGATGGGGATTGCTGTCTTCCTATTGTTCAGGACTGTTTACCTCTGGGGGTCCACAGGGCTAGCTTTCCTCAGCGTTACATTGCAAAACCTCCTTTCTGATTTCCCCAACTCTTCTCTCAGCCAGGCCTGGCCCTCCAAGGACACCCAAGGTGAAGCAAACAGGCAGAGTCCTTTTGGTCATTTCTGGTGGTTACGGTCACCTGTGGTCCCTTCCTGCAGCTGTAGGAGGCTTATGGTCCTGTCACTACTTCTTGCAGTTGATAAGAGCTGGATAAGGCCTGTGGCTGCCAAGGCAGGGATCCAGAACTGATCCACACTTGGGGCTAAAGGAAAGATGATGTAATTGTGGATTGGAAGCCACCACCATTTGCAATGCAGACTCCCTCAATGAGGGGAGGATTACACAGAAATAGACAGCAGGGACATACAGATGGTCATGGCTCGCCAGACCTTTGGTGGCCAACCACAGCCACCTTTCTCTGACCTTTGGAAATTACACAGCGCTTCATTCTCGTGATGCAGAGTACGAATACTAAGGAGGGTGGCTGGGAAACCATGCCCTGAGATGCGCACTGTCACTGTTTTTATGATTTTCTTTCCTTCTAATCAATCATGCAATCTAAGAGTGCACTAAAATGATTTGGGCTGGAGGAGCTCATGACATTGAGGGACACAATATTAACACAGACATAATGACTGAGAACAATAGAAAAGAATCTAAAATGACTGCAGAATTGTGTGCAACCTCCTGAAAGGGTTGTAGGAGGAGCCTTGAGGGCTGTGGTAGGCAGCCAAGAAAGCCTTAGAGAAAAAGTAACTAAAGCTGGGTCTTAGAGAATGTGCCAGATTTGAGTTGCGGGAGGGAGGGACATTCCAGGAGCCAAGAACAAAGGGGAGGCTGCAGGAAGTTTTGATTCAATGTTAGAGAGAAGTGGTACAAATCCAAGCCTTGGAAAGACAGGCTGTGAGTGTCTTTAATTATAGACTGAGTTCCTGAGGGCACCTTTGTTTCAAGGCAAACCAGCTATGACTCTCTCATGTTGAGGGTCCACTAGGTGACCCCTCAAGGTCACCACGCATCCATGGTGCCAGAACGCTGGGGTGCATCTGCAGCAGTCGTAGACTCAAAGCGCTTCTCTCTTAACCATGTGGCATTCACTCCACACTTGTGACCCCTTTGAAGCTGCCAAAACACAGGTGTGCTTTTTTTTTAACATCTTTATTGGAGTATAATTGCTTTACAGTGGTGTGTTAGCTTCCGCCCCATAACAAAGTGAATCAGTTATACATATATATATGTTCCCATACCTCTTCCCTCTTGCGTCTCCCTCCCTCCCACCCTCCCTATCGCACCCCTCTAGGTGGTCACAAAGCACCGAGCTGATGTGCTTTTGTTTTGATTACAAACTCAGAGAGAGAGCTGCTGGTGCGGCTTTTTGAATCGTGAGGCTGATGGTGCTTCTGAAGCTGATCAGATCCTTCAGAGAGCTGAGGACTGAGCTGTAGGGGGAGGGGAGACTTTGACTTTAGAGGTTTAGGCGGGAGGTGCCTTTTCCACTGTTGCTCCCCCCACTTTGGAAGCAGAGGGTTCTGGCCTCTTTTGGAGAAGATCCTGAGCTTCCTCCTTGTCGCAGATAGCCCTGCCATGCCAAGCACTGACAGGAGGTCGTGGCTGCTTTCAGCTGAGCATTAGCCCTAATGGGTTTGGCAGGATTTTAAAACAAACAAAACAAAACAGGTTAAAAGGTTCAGGGGGGAGGGATGTGGTGACTGCCTGAGCTCAGATCACAGGATGTGCCATGCAGCCTGGGCTGGGAACAGCTCTGAGGTCTGATGCCAAGGGTGTGAGCTGAATCGAAATCTGGAGTGGCTTTATCAGAGAAATTAGTCTGTGATTAGAGCTGAAAAGAGTCACGAGTCTTAACTTGTATTTAGCACTCCAAGGATAAAGTGTCCTGTGTGGTACTAAATTTCTCCCTGTTGCTCTGGCGGTCTCCAGAAGGAACGGGGAGGCTTATCGAGGAAGTATGGTGGGTAAAGATGGGGCAGTGGGGAATGGCATCGCCTTGGAGGGAGCTGTGGGTGGACATGCTTCCACTTTGTTTGGGGGAAGTGAAATTCTTTTGGTACTGATTTGAGTCCAGTGATCAGAGACTTAGAACATGTATTGGAGCTAAGGAAAGATGGAACTTTGACCAGATTGGGTATAGAATTTTCATTGAAGATGGGATAGTGTATAAAGTATCTTCTTTTTTTTTTTTTTTTTGATTTTTTAAAATCCTTTTTATTTTGAGATAATTTTAGACTCAGAGAAGAGTTGGGAAAACAGTACCGAGAATTCCCACCCACCCAGCTTCTCCTAGTGTTAACATCTTACCTAACCATTGCACAGTTATCAAACCTAAGACATTGACATTGGTGCAGTGCTATTAACAGCAGACTTGATTCAGGTTTCACCTGTTTTTCCGTTAATGTCATTTTCCTGTTCTAGGATCCAGTTCAGGATCCCATGTTGTAGTCTGTTGTCACGTCTCCCTTTGTCTTCTTCGATCTTTGACAAGTCTTTGTTCTTCCCTTGTCTTCTTGTGATTTGACACTTTTGTGGAGTACAGGGATTTTGTGGAAGGCCCCTCAATTTGTGTTTAGCTTGAGTGTTCTCAAGGTTAGGATGAGGTAATACGTTTTTGGCGGGCACACTGTGGGGCGACGTGCTCTTCTTAGTGATCATATTAGGGGCACATATGTCAGGATGTCTTAAATTTTTGTACAGTTTTTAAGGTCATTTTCCATTTACAACTACTGCAAAATATTGGCTATATTACCCATGTTGTACAGTACATCCTTGAGCCTATCGTATACTTCTAAAGAAAGAACAGGCAGACCTTCACTGTGGTGGAGAGACGGGGAGTTGCCCACCTCTCTTTCCTTCTGGCAGGAGGACTGTGTTCCAGCCACACTGGAACACTCAACCCTGCAGCTTTTAGATGTGACCGACTGACTGTCTATTGTAGGGAGGTGGGGCTGCTTCTTTGTCCCTGACCCCAGGACAGAATTCAGCTGAGAACACTTCGGTGGAGTCCCAACAGGTTACAGCTTGAGAACAGCAAGGGAGAGATGCAGTTGTCAACAGCAGTTCCTGGTTTGCTTTTACTTCTGCTGGAGGCTCCCTCCCTCCTCCTTTGTGCCTTAGTCTTCTGGCTCCACGTGCCTCAGGCAAAGACAGCGCGTTGAAAAGATTCTTTCAGTGGCAGCAGGAGGGTCTGCTTCTGAAATAGGCCAGGCACTGGTCAGGCCAGGTGGTGGCAAGCTCCCAGCCCAGCGTGACTTTGCTGAGGGCTGGCTGCGAAGCCTGGATTGGACCCTGCCCTTACCTGGCCCGGGGTCTTCCTCAAAGCTGTTTTTGATTGCACACAAACTAAACAGAATGAAGGACTGATGTTACAAAACTGGGGCTACTGCCTGAAACTCAAGGGAAGGCTAGGCATGGGCCCAGGGCTGGCTGGGCCCAGCACCTGGAAAATGTCCAAAATGCAACACAGTTTCTTTCTTTTTCCGCCTCCCTCTGAGACTTGCCAGGCCCTGACTCCCAGCTTGTCACTGTGTACCTGCTTTTTTCATCTCTCACTGCACCAACCTTTGCTGTTACTTCCAGCACATGGCAGAAGACGCCACCTCTTAGCTCCCAGTTTTACAAAGCCCTCAGTTCAGGCAAACAGCAGAGCTGATCCTCTCAGTGCCAATTCCAAAGTCACAGAAAAAAAAAAAAATCTGATTAGTTGAGATTAAGTTAGAGTAAATTCAAAGGGTTCAGAGGGCGGGATATGGCGATTACCCAAGTTCTGATCATAGGTAGGCCTAGCAGCCTGAGTCCAAAGCAGCTCCAAGGCTATGGACGTAGGGCAGCAGGGGGAGGGAGGAGAGTGGGTGGTGGTAGTAGAGAGGAGTGATTATTATTAGAGGAGTAGAGAGGAGTGATTAATATTAACATGGCTACCTAGACCCATATTCATTATGGCTCAGAGATGCATGTGTGTGTGCGTGTGTGTGTGTGTGAGATCTTATGGTTAGACAGGGGCCTCTGTAAGTGTCTACCACATCAGATAGATAACCAGAGAAAGGATAACTGGACACACGCTTTAGCGAGAAATTTCTGTTTTTGAAGGTACCTCCCTGTTGTGTACTTCAGCAAAGTTCCTCATTAACATGGCCCTGCTGAATCTGGAGCTTTGGTCCCCGATCATCTAATCATCCTCTGTCTTCCCAGAGTGGATAAACTGATACATGCTGGGGAGGCTTTTGTGAATTTACATTTCCTTTAATATGCATTGGGCACAGATGGTTACCAGGTTGTCTCCGATCCATAAGTCTTCTTTCATCAAGGGCTGATCAAAATTTACTGCGAGCAGGTTTAAAGGGACAAGCTTTTAGGCTTGGAAGTGTGCATATAAATAAAAATGTTGCTGTAGTGGCTCATTGTTAATGAAAGAAAAATGATCCATGTCCTCTTCCGGAATAACGGAGTCTCTGAATATATTTATTTCAAGATTTAGGTGCTGTGGGAACTGACCACAAATCACAGAGCAACCGTTAATGAGCCTCTGTCCCTACCTGTTAAGCTTATTAACTGCCTGTTACCTCCAGTTCTATATCCCACCTGGGGAAACAAAATGGATGCTTTGGCAATGCAACGGCTGAAAAATACAGAAGTTAATCAAAAGCACAGGGGGGCCTGGAAATGCAATCAGAAGACGTGTGCTGGCTGAGATTATTGGGGCACTGGGAGGTTTCTGGGAGGAAGGATCTGATGCTGTCTGGTTTGAGATTTAGCTAATTAAATTCAACTGTCCTTTAGTCAGTGTCTTCTCGCTCTGTGCAAGCCGAGGACATGAAAGGCACAGTCCCTACCCTCAAGGAACCTGCATGCTAATTGGGTGGGCAGGCTTCACATAACTGAATCAGATGGATTCTGATGGGAAGCAAGTTCAGGGCAGTTATGCAGAGGCTATATGAATAAGTGCTAAAGTAATAAAAATAAGAGAGTAGAAAGGGCCCTTAGCTGAGAAAGAGGATACTTTGAGTTTTGCTCCCATTCTACCATATGACAGGGGCTGTGCTATTCATTCTCTTCCAGTCTCGGTTTTCTTCTGATAAAAGAGTTTGAACTTGGTCATTCCTAAAAAGTATTCATGAGATGCACTTTTATGTATCCATAAGACAGGAGTGGGGACAGAAAATTGCTCAGAGGAAGGGAGCCTTGATTTGAGCATTTAGCAAAGTATAGGATTCAATTCAGGGAGAGGAAGGAGGAAGCCACTCTTAGCAGGGCCACTTTTATTCATCGGGCTTAGAGGTGGATGTATGTCTGCAGAGGGGACGGCCTGCCTTGTGGGGATGGGAGCTGTGGAAGGAGGGGAGTGGATACAGATTACAGGCAAAGAGGGGTAGACCCAGTTAGGGGGGTAGGCAATGCAGAGATCAATGCTGGAACCTATAGCTATGTTCTTTAACCCAAATATTTCAGGAACCTTCCCAGTTTCCTTTCCCACTTGAAGGCAAGGTTCTTTCTATTAAAAGCAGCAGCAGTCTTTTCGATGTAATTTGAAGGTAAAGATAAATACTGGAAACTGAAAAGCCTTGGCTCTATGATTAATTAAAGGAATCATCTCAAATTTAGAAAATTGCTTAAGTAAAAGAAGACACCAAATTGCATCAGTGTGCCTCCATATGTTAATTATGGCTATTTTTCCTTGTTTTTCTGCTGCCGCTCCAGCCATATCCCATCTATCACTTGGTTTCAGGCGTCATGATCAATTGACTGTACCATAAACAACATGTTGCATATGTGGCAAATGATAACATCATTTAACTCGACACAGGGTAAGAAAATTCCCTCTTTGTCATCCTTCCAGTTCCTCAGGAGAGAAAAAGGACAGCCTTGAATTAATTTCTTGCTTATTCAGTCAAGCAAGCATTTTTTGCAGATTCCTCCGGGGTAGAAAAACCGAGCCCAGCAGGCCCACCACAAAACTAGACCCATGATGTTGGAAGCTCTGTACCCTAGTACATAGAACAGTACCTGGCACATAGTAGGCACTCAATTTTCTGTATGTAACCAAATTCCTATTTTTAGTTTCTCTGATATGTGGTAAACTTCATAGAGAATTAATATTCATCACCAGAAGGGTATTTTTATCCTTGGAGTATCAAATCTTTTTTTGCTGGCTGAAAGTCAGTAAATACAGAAAATCTTTTAATGATCTCTACGTAGTGACACCCAACTCCCCATGGAATTAACCGGTGTTCTTCCATTTCTTCTCTAACGCATGTTGGCTGGAGCTCATGGCCACTGAATGCATATAGCCTGTCGGCAACTCAGCATCACGCCCTCGTTCTTCTTCCTGAGTGAGCTGTATGCCTGTGTGCTAACCAAGACCCAGTCGCATTTGTTTCCAAATCTCTTCCTCCCAGTTGTGCTTCAGATTGTAATTATAGAATTTAATTAGATATTACATAAACTGATGATACATGTAAGGAAAGAGATTCTTTTTTTCCTATGAAAAATAAGTTGAATGCTCTGGAGGAACTCGATAAAGTCAAGTGCTTAAAAAGTCTATGGAAAATTAGTGGGCGAGACACCTGTAAATGATTGAAAAGAAGTAAACATCTAGAAGAAATGCACTTTCAACTTTAAAGAAACTAAATCTGGAAATAATTGGTGATGTATGGGTTGTATGAATGTACTTGATGCAAGAAAGACAACATGCAACTCTAACTGGCAAACACCCACTCAAAGAAAATACACAAAGTTTCAAGGGGAAAGAAGTATTTAAGCCATGTATGCGTAATTTTTGAAAATGGTTTGCTGCTTTCATAAACTTTTTGCAGTTAACTAGTTACCTATTCTTCCTGATCGGTAGGTAACATAAGAGGAGTTTTACTAAAAAAAAAAAAAAATTTAGTAAATTCCAAAAGAATTAAGTCCACACAAAATCAGCAGTCTGTCTTTGCCGTGAAAGCACAATGATTGGTGGTCACACCCTCGGAGCCTGCAACAATATGGGAGCTCAGCCAGGCACCCCAAGTGATGCAGGCCAGCGTGCCTCTCATGCAAGGAGGTGGTGCCTTCCATAGAAAGTCCATCTTGCAATCAGCTTGTTGTTTGTCTTATATATATGTCTTGCTCTCTCTTTTTCTCTAATGTTTTACACAATGTTTTGTTTGGAAAAAATTCAAACTTACAGAAAGATGCAATTATAATGTAATGAACTTCCTTACCCCTTTACCTAGATTCACCAATGTTAATATTTTGCAGTCTTGGCTTTGTTTCTCTCTTTCTACATGCTCCACCATCCCCTTGCACATACTTCTTTTCTTCCTACTCCTCCTCTTCCTTCTTATGAAACTTGCTAAATGATTTGAGATGCCATAACTTTTTTTTTTTTTGCGGTACGCGGGCCTCTCACTGCTGTGGCCTCTCCCGTTGCGGAGCACAGGCTCCAGACGCACAGGCTCAGCGGCCATGGCTCACGGGCCCAGCCGCTCCGCGGCATGCGGTATCTTCTCGGACCGGGGCACGAACCTGTGTCCCCTGCATCGGCAGGCGAACTCTCAACCACTGCACCACCAGGGAAGCCCAAGATGCCATAACTTTTACCCCTAAATACTTCTGTGTGTATCTCTTAAAAACAAGAATATTCTTTTACATACCCACAATATAATGATCAGATGCAGGAAACTTAACACTGATATAACAGTAGTCTTTAATATGAAGTTCATGTTTAGCTCTCATCTCAATAATATCTCTTATACGTATCATTTTTCTCTTGATTCAGGATCAAATCTAGTATCACTTATTGTACTCTTGAGTCTCCTTTAATCTGGAATAGTTCCTCAGCCTTTAGTTGTCCTTCATGGCATTGGCATTTTGAAAGAGTACCTGGCCAGTTGTTTTGTGAAATGCCCAGTGATTTGTGTTTGTCTGACTCTTTCCTCATGATTACTTTCAGGTTATGCATTTTTGGAAGGAATACTATACAAGTGATATTGTATCCATCTTAATGCATCACATCAGGAGACAGGTAATATCCATTTGTCTCATTATTGATGATGTTAGCTTGGATTGTGTGGTTATGAGGCATCCACTGTAAAGTTACACTTCCTTCTTTGTAATTAGTATTTGGAAACTACATAAGCATCCTGTTTGCCATCAAACTTTTACCCAATTGTTTTATCATCCTTTGATAATTCTTGTTTGAGTCAGCTATTACTATGATGGTTGCTAAATGCTGTACCTGTTTCTCTCTACCTCCCGAGCTCCAAATGGAGAAATCCAAGTGTTTGATAGAAGTTGGAGGTAGGGATGGGGAAAAACAGCATGTACTCCCCTGCCCAATCCCCATTTGGCCCATGAAGCAAAATTAGATTCCTTGATCTATTCAATTTGCCCACAAGTTGAATTCTAGATTCTTGGGGGTGTTGGATACATGGATGGCCTTCCCTCCTTCTTCCTTATGGCAATCCCTACAGTTTCTCAGTGCTTTTAACCCCTTTGCTCCCCATCCCTCATGTTTCTGCCTTTTCCTGCGTCCAGCCTCAAAACATGGGTGATAGTCATTTTTTGCTCAATCCAGTATTTTTTTTTTTTTTTTTCTGAATGGAATGTGTGTGGGGGGGTGGGGGAGTGGTAGCCTTGAAAGCATAGAGTCATGAGGGTAAAGAAGGGGAGGGAGAAGAAGCCTGGAGGTCTGTTCTCTGAGTGAAATATCTAAAAAAAACACAGTCAGATGTCTTGCATTACAAAGGTTAATCTCCTGATAGCTTGGCATCTCTTTTTATTGCCTTATTATGTTAAATGAGTGTCTGTCTACTCCCCAGGCTTGAGATACTTCTTTTGCTTCATTTAATGCCTACATGTACTAGTGCTTTACTTGGTTTATCTCATTTACATCATGCAATAACCATATGTCATTGGTACTATTGTTAGAGTCTCTATTCTCATATAAGGAAACTGAAGCTTAGCGAGGTTAGCCTAAGATCATGTAGCTGATAACCAAGGCAGTCTGTTGCCAGGGGCCATTTCTTTTGCCACCATGTTTCTAAGAAGTCAGAAAAATAGGTGGCGTAAAGCTCATGCTCATGCACACAAGTACAGAATTACCTTCTGATTCTCCAGCTAGAGTTGACTGATTAAATTTTGAACAAAATATGCTTCCCAGTGTAGTAATCTTGGTGATGTGGTTTCCCCTTGAGGAGTAGGAACTCACCTCAAGTCATAGCTGATCCTCATGAGAAATAAAAATGGCTACACTGACAGATGGCAGCTGGGCAGCCAGAAAGGAATCAACAGAGCGTCCTGAATGGCCCCCTCAGGACAACTGTAGTGAACATCCTGACACATCTAGCCCCCGAGACAGCAGCTTAGAGCAGGAAAGATGCTCAGACACTGACAAAACTGAAACACGAGGAAAATCATGCATTGTGTTCCAATAATCTCTTTTGACAGAAAAATTCACTTTTGTGCATCTACCCTTACTCTAATAAGATTAGTGTAAGGTGGTCTGAGGAAAGTTATTTCATCTCAGCTGCAAAATAAGGAAGCAGAATTCAATGATCCCTAAAAGGTCCCCTCTAGTTTCATGAGTCTAAACATGAATTGTTATTGTAATCAACCAGTTCTAGAATATCAGTAACTTCCTTGTTTCTGTGACATGTAAACATGACCTACACTGAAGTTAATCCTGATGATGGAACCACAGTAAAATTCTTTAAGACAGTGCTCTCCTAATTGGTTCCTGGAGCAGACACTTTTGGTGAATAAATTCTCCCAAGACAAGGAAGAACTCAGATCATTACCATATTCAGAAGACAAATGCATCACCTCATGAAAATGTTAATGGGCAACATTAATTGGAAGCAGAAGTCAGGCTGGGAGTTTCTTGTAGATCCTGGGAGCCCCAGAGGACTCTGGCATATATAGAGCACATCTTTCTAGGACTGGGGAGGGAGTGCTGTAAGCCCCTTAGACGCCCTGATTCTCCTCCTTGCCTTTTGCACTGTCTGCCTTTGTTCTAACCTTCCACCTCCTCACCTTCTCCCCGTCTTCTCTCTAGTAGTGGTTCCTCATCCCTGCTATACATTTCTGCATGAGTGTTAAGGATTAGTGATGCAAAGGAAAGAGAACAAAACCAGCAAAGATGTTCACTTCAAAGGAAGCAATAATGACACACCAACCAGAAAATTATTTAAGAATAGGCTGTAGCATCTGCTATAAGGTTTATCGTACATGAGGATGCAGCTTCCCTATTTCTCTAACTATTGTCTTTCCTTTACGAGGTCAACTCACAATAAAAAAATGCAGTAAGTACACTAGCTTAATTTTAGCTCCACCCTTGCTTTTATTTCTTTTGCTCCCGCTTGAAAATTATGCTATTCTACTGTATTTTACTTTTGTTAGCTGCCTCACGTTCTTTCCGGAACAGGGATTGAAACAACAAGAAGTATGAACAATTTGTCTAATTGTGAGAAGCAATCCATGTGTTTCTATTATCCATAATGAGAATCAGCACTTACTTGGTATATAGTATTTGCCAGGCACTGTTCTACCATTTCACATACATTGACTCACTTAACTCTCAAACCCCACTGTGAGGTAAGCACCATTATTACCCCTTCTCCATTTTTGAAGGGGAAGAAACTGAAACCTATAGCAATTAAGTAATGCTTGCAGTCACACATTTAATGAGAGGTGGAACCAGGATTTGAAATCATGTTCTCTGAGTGCAGACTCCAGCTCTTTGACTACTGTGTGATGTTGCCTCCCTCTGATGCACTATTTTGGGTGTGATGACTGAAAACATATGAACAAACCCATCAGTGCTCAGTGAACTGGGATCAGCTATTCTGAAGATAGTGACTGCACACAGCTACTCTTCAGGAACTAGGATACATATAGATTTAAATACAACCCAGTCAATTTCCTAAGCTGCTGGAGATCCTACTAGAGATTCCAGCTTTAACATGGATTATTGGTTTTGATTTTCCAAAAGACTTTTCTAAAATGTCTCTTCTGGTAATTTTATTTTATTTATATTCTTTATACAGCAAGTTCTTATTAGTTATGTATGTATTAGTTATGTATTTTATACATATGTATTTTATACATATTAGTATATATATGTTAATCCCAATCTCCCAATTCTACCCACCACCCCCATCCCACCCCCAACCCCCGCTTCCCCGCCTTGGTGTCCATACGTTTGTTCTCTACATCTGTATCTCTATTTCTGCCTTGCAAACCAGTTCATTTGTATCACTTTTCTAGATTCCATGTATATGCGTTAATATATGATATTTGTTTTTCTCTTTCTGACTTACTTCACTCTGTAGGTTCACTCTCTAGGTTCATCCACATCTCTACAAATGACCAAACTTTGTTCCTTTTTATGGCTGAGTAATATTCCATTTTATATATGTACCACATATTCTTTATCCATTCGTCTGTCGATGGGCATTTAGGTTGCTTCATGACCTGGCTATTGTAAATAGTGCTGCAATGAACACTGTGGTTCATGTGTCCTTTTGAATTATGATTTTCTCTGGCTATATGCCCAGTAGTGGGATTGCTGGATCATATAGTAGTTCTATTTTTAGTCTTTTAAGGAACCTGCATATTGTTCTCCATAGTGGCTGTATCAATTTACAATCCCACCAACAGTGGAAGAGGGTTCCCTTTTCTCCACACCCTCTCCAACATTTATTGTTTGAAGATTTTTTTATGACAGCCATTCTGACTGGTGTGAGGTGATACCTCATTGTAGTTTTGATTTGCATTTCTCTAATAATCAGTGATGTTGAGCATGTTTTCATGTGCCTCTTGGCCATTTGTGTGTCTTCTTTGGAGAAATGTCTATTTAGGTCTTCTGCCCATTTTTTCATTGGCTTGTTTGTTTTTTTAATACTAAGCTGCATGAACTTTTTATACATTTTGGAGACTAATCCTTTCTCCGTTGATTCATTTGCAAATATTTTCTCCCATTCTGAGGGTTGTCTTTTCGTCTTGTTTATAGTTTCCTTTGCTTTGCAAAAGCTTTTAAGTTTCATTAGGTCCCATTTGTTTACTTTTGTTTTTATTTCCATTACTCTAGGAAGTGGGTCAAAAGAGAACTTGCTGTGATTATGTCAAAGAGTGTTCTTCCTATGTTTTCCTCTAAGAGTTTTATAGTGTCCGGACTTACATTTAGTTCTTTAATCCATTTTGAGTTTATTTTTGTGTATAGTGTTAGAGAGTGTTCTAATTTCATTCTTTTACATGTAGCTGTCCAGTTTTCCCAGCACCACTTATTGAAGAGACTGTCTTTTCTCCATTATACATCCTTGCCTCCTTTGTCATAGACTAGTTGACCATAAGTGTGTGGGTTTATCTCTGGGCTTTCTATCCTGTTCCATTGATCTATATTTCTGTTTTTGTGCAAGTACCATATTGTCTTGATTACTGTAGCTTTGTAGTATAGTCTGAAGTCAGGGAGCCTGATTCCTCCAGCTTCGTTTTTTTCCCTTAAGATTGCTTTGGCTATTCGGGGTCTTTTGTGTCTGTCTCCATACAAATTTTAAGATTTTTTTGTTCTAGTTCTGTAAAAAATGCCATTGGTAATTTGATAGGGATCGCATTGAATCTGTAGATTGCTTTGGGTAGTATAGTCATTTTCACAATATTGATTCTTCCAATCCAAGAACATGGTATATCTCTCCATCTGTTTGTGTCATCTTTGATTTCTTTCATCAGTGTTTTATAGTTTTCTGAGTACAGGTCTTTTACCTCCTTAGGTAGGTTTATTCCTAGGTATTTTATTCTTTTTGTTGCCATGGTTGCAATGGTGAATGGGATTGTTTCTTTAATTTCTCTTTCTGATCTTTCGTTGTTAGTATATAGGAATGCAAGAGATTTCTGTGCATTAATTTTGTACCCT